TATTATTACTGTATTATTATTATTGTTATTTTTTGCAGACGAACCTATTCTAGAGGTGACGTCACCATACGAGTACCCGACGTGGGAATCTAACGTAGAAATAAATTGTACAGTTCATGGTTTGGAAAATGCCGTCATTGAATGGACAAAAGACAAAATCCGTTTACCAACAATGAACAGTGAAATATATGCACAATACAAGCCAAGGTGAATGCCATGAATATAATAGGTATTATCCGATATAAATATATATACTTTGAATTCTTTGAAGTTTTGTATTTATTTGTTGCGAGGGGAAATTCCCTAAATAATTTTACTCTATTTCTGAAAAAAAAAAAAAACAACTGCAAAGTGTATGTAGATAATAGAATGAAAGTTATTGTATTATATTAAAGAGAACTTCAAGTATTAGCATCACTTTTTAAGATATTTTTAGTCTTATCTTTTGCTTATTTTTAACGAATAGCCTTTTAATTACAGTATTATATAATGTGAACGAGAGGTGGTCAGTATTGGATTTCCTACAGGCATAATATTTTCTTAATAGAAAAACCGGGCGGTAAATATGTCACAATGAATAATGATCTTGTTACCCTGTTGTTGCCCTGCCACGAATTAATAGGGTTTTTTAAAACCAAGATTAGTAATATTAATAAAATGAAGGAAACTTGTTAGTTTTGGTCTACTGGTAATATACAAGGAGCTATTGTTACACTTAATATCTGCGCGGTGGATGACTACTTGTAAATTTCTAGCTAATACCATCTAATGTCGTAGGCCTATATGCTAAAATTAAACTATTTATGATAGATATTTATCCAAATAATCATAGCCCGTCATTGCAATGTTGAACTTCCATCTTTTCCTTTTAAACTAGACCAATACAATCTACTCTTCGATTATACAACGTAACGGGAAGAAATAACGGTGTTTACACATGCACAGTGAATACGAGCATTGCATTACAAAAGACTGTGACAATGAAAGTTATACGTGAGTTCCTGTTCATTTAGTTTTATAAGTATTTGTTTATTCAAGACACCATAAGTACAATGAAAGTTTGCAACTTAGAGGGGCACAATACAAGCATACCTTTATATAAAACGAACGTAACAATAACCAAATCATATACCATAATACTTTAATCTCAGAATAGCGTTAAGTAATACCATAGAGACTATGGTAATACTGTCTTTTAAATTAACTTATCAATCAGTGGACCGTTTCTCATAATCCCCGTCGCTTATAATATGGTTGCTAGAGTCCCATAATACGAGCATTAATAAACAGTTTTGATTCTTGAAAACACCATAAGTACAATACAAATGCAACTTACAGGCACACACATAGTAGGCCTACAAACACAACATTATATAAAACGAACCTAACAATAACCATTCATATACCATAATACTTTAATCTCATAATAGCGAATATTGAAGAATACTGTCTTTAATAACTACCAATCAATGGACCGTTCCTCCTAATCCCATTCACTTAGATAAACGTGGCTATTAAGGTCCCATAATACGACAACGTAATATGTAAATACGTGAGTTTTTGTGAGACAATTTTTTTTTCATTATTTTGCTCGTCGTAACACAATAAATGAAATGAAAATAGTTTGCACTACATTCTCACTAAAGTTAAACAGATAAGATTATATAAAATAAGCTTGATTATATTTTGGTTCTAAAGAAGTACTTTAAAACACAGTATTGTTTTTTAATTAAAGTTCTGAAAAAGCAAATGTAATGAAGACAAAAATGATAAAAAAATTTCCCTTTTACATGAAGAAAAGTAAATAGGCCCTATATCGTGTAATATCATAATATCTAACATTTTCTCTCTTAATATTTTCAATATAAGGTACCACTCCCCTTTCGCTATTTTCATATATAGTTTCTTTCACTAATAAAATAATAACATTCACTGTTATTTTCAATCACTCGCAATAGTATATTATCATTTGACCATTACAATTTTATGTGTAGGCCTTCCGTTATCCAAGTTTCCAGCTCTCTTCCGATTGTATACACATTTTCATAGTTCCAAAAAATATGATCAATTGTTTCGATATGTTCTTTACAAAAAGTGCATAGATGAATTGACATATCGTGATTTGTAAAGGTAGTTTCCCGTTGAATATATGTATAATATAATATGTATAATTATGTATAATTCTATACTATAACCATCCAAAATCAGTATTGTACGTACATTTAACCGGTATTATGTTAAACATTTCCCATTGTTTTAATGAAGTAAACTCAATATCATAATACGGTTTCCCATTTGCAGTTACACGGCAATTTAAAATATTTCGAGTTAATTGAAGTGATTAAAGTACGAAAAAAAAGTTACATCCATTTTTGGTAATTTGTAATTGACGAATATTAAAGGAGTAAATGGGATTTGTGAGCTTGTGAGACATTAGTGGCCTTCCGTCTGAATCAAAGTTACGACGGATGTAAATGTTACGTGCGCGTTACTTTCGACGAGTGTTCACACGATACTTACCATAGAATAATGTTCCATTTTTGTTGTCTCTCAAAATGGTTATTTTGCACACAAGTTCTTGAAACAAGCGCATAAACCTTAGCGCTGTTCGGTTCGGGTTGGATGCTAGCTTGGTGTATTTTTGTTTTAATTATTTTGTGTTAATGTAATACTCAACGGCATTGTATATTCCTTAACAGATAGTAGAACATTAAATATGCTATAATTTGTAACACTTTATATAAAATAAGATATAACAAAATATTCTGTATCTGTAACATCTGGTCGGTAAACTGCTGCTCAGCATTATCACTCAAACATGCATGGTCATGTTTATATTTAGTTAATAGAGTTAATATTATTTGAGACAACTATATGAATTTAACAGTACATATATAGTTGTCTCAAAAATTATATTCGTTTCAATTATTACATTTTTTTTTAACAGTGTTCATTTATTTGTTATTTAATTTCTGGCTTCGTTTTGTTATATTTATTTCCAAAATGCGTCGCACTTAAAAACTGAATTACAATTTACATATAGGCCTAAGAAATTACAAATATAAAAAAATATAATATTTAGAAAGTGTTTATTTTTTCTAAGTGGACGGCTTCGGTCATGTACAAATTGGTCCTGTGATTCTATAGTATTGAAGTTTGTGTAAAAAATTATTATGGAGTACTGTATCAAGGATTATAACTGTTCTAAGCCTTGACTGCATCGAATGCTTTGGTAAAGTCAAAGAGGACAGTCGTCAGTTGTGTTCCTTTTATTATGATTTTCGCGATGCCATCCGTAGTGAGGATTAGCTGAGCTGAATTTCTATAGATCGTTTTGCTTTAAAGCATATGTGAACGTCGGAAAGGACATTGTTGTGATCCATATGTTTCCCGTCTCTAAGGTCATTTATTGCTACCACTTTCTTCTATAACCTATTTGAAAATATTCGGATATTTTCAGAATATTCACAAATTAATGTTTGCTTTGTTACACAGAAAGAATCTGGTTTTAAATTCTTCTTTGGTGCATCAATTCTGTCAACAAAATATTGGTGTTATTACTGAAGGCTAGATCTAAAATGTTGTAGTAGTTCTTGTCACTTCAGGATATTAGCTTTTAAGCAGTTCTATTTATACTTGAAGTATTATTAATTGTGTTATTAAATTGTGTTTATCTACTTTTTCTTGTGCTCTTGATCGCCTTGTTCTGTTGTTGTTGTTGTTCTATGGATTTATAATTCTGAAGTAAAAGATGAATGAATGAATGAATTAATAGTTTCCCATTCTATTATATATATATATATATATACACACACATGTATGTATATATATATATATATATATATATATATATATATATATATATATATATAACTGAAGT